TGTGCTAATGAGTGCCATTACTGATGTCCTGGAAACGTAATGACCTGGTGATCAAATCAGTGACTTGTGAATAGTCTTGTTGGGCCTAGAAAAATATAAGACCATACCACCCAGTACTGGATTCCATTTTAAACCTGGTATTTTTCCATGGGTTCCTGCCCTTGGAAAAAGCTATATAAGCATTAGGAAGCCATCTGCCTTTTGTCTTCAGTTTTTAAACTGTCTGGCAAACCCTAAGAGGATACAAAGAACTTTGAAGAAGCTATAGACCCAAGTCAGAGTAAAAGGTCAGCTCTGATTTGAAGCTTTAACCTGAGATTAAAATATCTGTTTAGGGTAAGAATTTGCATGTAACAAGTTTCTTATTGGATTAGAACTAGCTAAGCATGTTTTGTTGATTTTAATTCAGTAACTTACTTTGACCTGTTTTTACTTGAATCCACTTAAATCCTACTGTTTGAACTTAATAAAAACATTTTTGTTTATAAACAGGCACAGTGTAAATAATTGTTATCAGGGAGGGGGAGGAACCACTCTACATATTTCTCTTTCATTGATAAAGGGGCAGACCTTATAAGCTTTCTGTTTATAAAAATTTTACAGAGAGATGGATTTATTTGGGGCTTTAGTCCTGTTTGTGGGTTGGTTTTCTGAGGACTGAGCTTCTAGAAATGAGCCCTTCCAGAGATGAGCTGGTTCAGTGTCAGCAAGGGAACAGTAACCCAACCCTGTGCCTTGTCTGGCGGAGACCAGAGGATCTAGTCCAGCAGGTCTGGGTGGTGGAGAAACCCAGAGAGCAAGAAGGTGGGTGTCAGCAGCATGATCAGCATACCAGGGGACAACCCCAAGGAGATATCTGTCAAATACACAACCTATCACAACACCTTATACAGATGAGAGTTATGAAAAATAAGATCACCAAATCAAAAAGGGTTCTTCTGAGCCCAAAGGATCAGCCATGTTCCCAGGTCAATTTATAATTCCTATTTTACCCCCAAAACATGCTGTTAGCCAGTCCTTTAGAATGTAAAGGGTTATTCATAGAAAGAAAGGGTGAGACTTAAAACTGTTAAAGGAATCAGATTACATAAACCAATTGCAAAGTTTTGGGTGCAGGTTTGTAGCAGAGGTGAAATAATCTGCTGTCCTAAATCAAGTCTCTGGAATACATCCACTGTTAGGATAGGTCATAAGTCCTTTGCTAAGAATTGAAATGTGAACAAAGATCCTCCAGAAATGAGAAGCTGAACTGAAGACAAAATGGAGGAAATGTCAGGGCCTTTTTATATCCTTGGCTATGTAGAGGGACTCCCATTGTTGTCTGGAAAAATACAGCTACAAAACGGAGTTTGTCTCATGAGCAAGTCAGCTGTCCATGCACAACTCAGTTCTTTACAGGTGGATGCCACTGCTCCCATGCCAGTAATGGAAAAGCTCATCCATCTGATGAGGATTGGCACCTCCCAAGGACACTTGTTAGTCACATACTTTGGTCCTTTCAAATAGGCTGGCCAAGCCTGCTGTTTATATCTCTCAGAAGCAAACATTTGAAATACAAATACAGAGTGATACTCATAACTTCAAATACAAAAATGACTAGTATAAACAGAATCAGTAAATCCTAAGCTTTAATAGACATCTCACTCGGCACATTGTGCAAGATTTCATGCATACATATAACCAGGGCTCAACAAATAATGCAATCTACTTGCCCAGGGTGAGTAGATTGCAACCCGGAAGAGCCGCGTTCGGGCGATCTGAGCATGCACAGAACGATCTGTGCATGCACAGATTGCCAGACAGCGCGGCTGGCGAGCAG